CAGGCTGCTGTGTCTGCACGGGGATTAAGGGACTGGAAGAGGGACGCCGGCACAGAGAAAGGCGGCGGCTTCGCTTGTTGGTTTGGTAACAGCACGGGGGGATTCCGAAGTGAAGTTTGGGATCTCTTTTTCACGAAAGTAACCTGTGCGATCCGAGGCTGGGGTGTGCGAGGTTCCCCCGGAATCCTCGGTCCCGGCAACCCATGGTGGGGCGGCGATGGGGTGGGGGGCGTGGAGGGGGGAGTTGGTTTTGGTTCACATCAGGCCGAGGGGACCGCGGGCGGCAGTAACGTGCGCCGGGTGTAGAAGAGGGGTGTGCGCCGCGAAAAGAAACTGTCCCGGGGCTGGCGTGGCCGAGTCTTTCACAAATGGCTCCCCTGTTCCCCCGGCCCCTCGGTCGCAGGTTGCAAAGTCGCACGCACTGAGGTTTCCGCTAAAAGGGGGGCATGGCTACGGGAACTTGGCTTTTTCTGGCCCAGGAATTCCCTTAGTCAGTCCTTCATATTTATGAGACCTCTTTGAGAGGGAGACCTCGGCCAGAGTTGAAAGTGTGTTCATCCAAGGGGAACGTCCAGTCAGTGCTTTCCCTCTGAATCCACCCACTGACCAGAGGACTTAGGGTCAGAGGAGCGAGTGTGCACCTTCTGGTGGCTCCCTGGGGAAGGGCAGCCTGCCCCCCAGCCATCTGGAGCGACTCCTCTCTGATTCTGGTAAGGGGCTGGGAGGGGCTTCCCAAAGGGAAGGTCATGTTGTTCCCCGCCGGTTTCTTGAGTCCATGTTACCACATTAACACCAGGTGCCACCTTCGAGTCTCTACAGGGATAGATCCTGGAAAACCCGGGACCAGTGACCGTAGGTAACCAGAGGTGGCACAGAAGTGCCTGAGGGTCCCAGATTCCGCTCTCAGGAGGGTGGAACTGGCATTTACCTAGAATGTGATTAGTTTTCGAGTTAATTTCTTCTGTGTTCCCCCTTGAACACACTGTGAAAAGGAGAGTTGAATTGTGAGCAGTAACGCGCAGTCTGTTTCCTGAGGATGGAGGGTGATGGGCCGTCCTCCTCTGACCTGCGAGGCTCACTGCCAACCCCTTCGTCCTCCAGGTGGGCAGACTTGCGTCCCATTTTTGTGCTTTTACACCCTCCCTTCCCCCAGGCCTTCAGCTGTTTCGTGTTACATCAGTCTGTATCAGTGCCGATGGACTTTACCTTTTAAAATCCCCCCTCGCTACGTTACTAGACTTCAAACTGTCAAAAATAACAGGTGACTTCTCTTCAGTGAACTCCCCAGCTGTGCGTCCTCTGGTCGTGTCGCTGGGACGCAAGTTCTGGACAGCAGTAGTATTTCTGTTTTTCTCGTTCCACACCTTTTTTTTTAACAGTCTGATCATTTGGCTGCTTCACCGTATTCCCATACAGAACCATTCATTTCTATGATATTAGACTTTTGTCTATGCTGTTAAGCTAATTTGACTTTCTCCAGGAATAATCATAGTCTGTTTTCTTATGATTTGATTATCTTTCAGTATGTAGGAATTATTTCCTTTTGCTAGAGGAAAAAAGTCTCTGGGATTGAATATTCATGTTTCCTTATGTGACTTATAAAAATGAACACAATGACACCCCATTCCCTTCTAGTGTTCCCATAGGCAGAGTTTCTAGGACAAAGAAATGTTTTCCTGATGGTGCGTGAGGGTTAGCAAGATATAAAGAAGTCCTTGGAAACCATGGCTACAGGTACTTTATTCTGGGTTTATTCAGAATAGGGAAATGGATGAGAAGAGTCTGTTCCGGGTTAGGCCGCGTGTCCTCCAAAGCAGGTACCGCTGGTCGTGTGTAAGTGTGGACGGACACCAGCCACGAGAGAGAGGCTGTGTTTATAAACGGCCAAGTGCTTTCACACTGCGGTGTGCCGTGGCCCTTTTTAAAGAAACTTAACAAAGCGGGTGGAGAAGTAGTGTGATCTCCCTTTAAGAGACGTGCGGTGGGACACCTGGATGCAGCTAGTTTAAATCCTGAGAGGAGCCAGTGTGGCTTCGTGGGTTCCCTGCAGATGCTACGTGCGCCCGCCCAAGTGTGGCCCTGGCCTGCCCACTTCGGACGCCGTGGAACCGTGGGCAGATGGCTTCGCTTCGCCTCTGCCTCAGTTTCCTCATGGGAGAGTAACTGGCAGTACCGGGCTCAGAGGGTGGTTGTGAGGGTGAAATGAGCTAGTACAGGTCTGGAGCTCAGAACGGTGCCTGGCCCCGCTCGTGCCCAGCACTCCTGCCTCTACAGGCTGCAGCATAGCCTTGTCCCCAGGTCACACCCTGTGTGGTGACTGTCGGTCAGCGCGACCTGCAGGGCCCCTGGGCTGCCCTTGGGCTGGGTGTGGGGCTCCGATGGAATTAGGCAACTTTAAAACAAGGCGTGCTCAAATGTCCCCAGGCCGCATTTGGCCACAAAATGCATTTTCAGGCCAGAACCTCGCAGGACACTCCTTCCTCTATTCGTGCCTCATGCTCAGGCTTGACTGTGAAGCTCGGTGTGGTGACATCCTTGTGGTTTGTTTTTTATCTTCAGCCTGGACGTGCTTGCTGCTTGTCAGAGTCTCTGCCTGTTTCTTGCTACAATTTTTGCTTTCTAGGATATGTCTTACATCTTGAAGCAGCAAACTCCTGAAGAATCCGACGGTTTTCCTCATGGACAGTAGATACTTGTTTTTGAAACAAACTGTTACATTAAGATTTTCTTCTGAGGGAGAAACAAGCATCGTCGGTCCCTGGAGAGCCTCAGGCAGGGCTCTGGGCGCGCGCTCAGCCTTCTGAGGTCTCGATTTGTATGTGGGAGCGCGCTCAGCCTTCTGAGGTCTCCGTTTATATGCGTGCCCTGTGTCTGCTTTCGTTTCTAACCACCAGGTGGGTTGCGACACACAGATCAGTGCGCGCTGGTGGTCGGGCGGTTCTGAAAGGCAGCTCGTCCGTTTGCTCAGTCTTAGGAGTCTTGGTCGTAAAAGCTTTCGGTGCTGCGTGATCCGGAGTGGCTTTCCTGATGCAGCCTTCGCTGCCGCAGGGTGACCTCTGGTCCTTCAGCAACTGGCGTCCGCACCCCAGGACGTTAGTTCAGCCACTTGAACCGCGAAGGCCTTCGGGTATTTGAAAGAGGCCACCCCTTAGGCTGACCTGGCTCTGGCCCCGTGGGGCAGGGCGGGCCTCACAGCGTTTGCACACGTCTTTCCAAGCAATCTGCCTGATGTATAATTTAACCTTTGTGTTCTGGCTATTAAGTTAAATTCCTTCCATTGTCCTTTCAAACCCTGGTTGATGCCTCTCATTAGGGATAATTGATCTCGAGATGCTTCTCTTTCATGCGGAGGGTGGTTTAATAATAACGGGGGGGGGGCAGTAGATGTTGGGGTTTCACTGCAGTCAGTGGAATTTCTAGGGGTGCGAGCACAGTCCTCTGTTTATAGTTGGCTAAAACCGGATCGAATCGACAAACACCCTAGCTGCTCGATACACAGGAAGTCCTCTGTTTACAGCCGTGCTGGGCTCTGGAACCTAGAAACACATTGTTCCTTGGTGCTGGGCCCATGTGTTCCACTAGAGACGGGTAATCAGAGATGGTTAGATCCCCAAGTCCCAGACTTATAAATGTTTTTTTAACCAAGTTAAATGCAGGCAGGAATGCTATTTATTTGCAAGGAAAATCAATAAAAAGCCACTTTCACAGCCATAAAAACACAAGATTGAACAAGGGATTGTTTTTTGCTTTCCCTTGGAAACTGG